AAGTCTGAAATTATGTCAAGTAAAAAATTAAAAGAGGGACTTCCCTGGTGGCGCAGTGGTTAAGAATCCGCCTGCAATGCAGGGAACATGGGTTCAAGCCCTGGTCCGGGAAGATCCCACATGCCACGGAGCAACGAAGCCCGTGCACCACAACGACTGAGCCTGTGAGCCGCAACTACTGAAGCCTGTGCGCCTAGAGCCTGTGCTCCACAAGAGAAGCCACTGCAATGAGAAGCCCGCGCACTGTAACAAAGAGTAGCCCCCGCTCGCCGCAAATAGAGAAAGCCTGCAGACAGCAACGAAGACTCAACTCAGCCAAAAATAAATAAATTAATTAATTTTAAAAAATTAAAAGAAAGAAATCAGAAAGACAACTTGTTTGATGGCTACATATAGAACTACAATGGAAACCAGATGTAGAAAGATTAATGAGAAGGGAAAATTGTTCTGGAAAGAAATCCTATTCATTTACAATACTATATTTCTCTGGAATTTGAGTTTATGATACTAGACATAATACACTATACTACGTATTGTAGAAAAGGATGCTCCTAGTAAACATTGGTGTAAGGATTCTTATTTGATAAGATAAATGTTTCTATAATGCCATTCTGTTTGTGGCTTGCTTCTTTACTTTTATGTTCTGCTTTAGTAAATCTTTACCAGTGTTATAACTTAAAATCTCTTCACAGACAACTCACAGGAAGAGTTTCACTAAGAATCGATGTAAAAACATATCCCAAGTGATTAAGGACAGTTTTGAGACTATGAAATAGAAAACATACATGACAAATAGAAAAGCAATTTAAAGTAAATTTCCCCCAAAAAATATTTCAAAATTTACTTTACCCCATAAGAGGGAAGGAAAGGCAAAACAAACAAAACAAAAAAGTGAACTCTAATATATGCCTTCTCTGAGTGCATAGGTAAGCTGTTCTGATGTCCCCAGGATTTAGCACACAGAAGTAACCCTTACTACTTTTTTATGGTATTCAAAGAGCCTGTAATAAATTATCTTCCATATGATTATTAACAAATGTATTTTTCAATCACTTACTAAATGTATTAATTCTTTTTTTTTTTTTTTTTTTTTGCGGTACGCGGGCCTCTCACTGTTGTGGCCTCTCCCGTTGCGGAGCCTAAGGTTCCGGACGCGCAGGCTTAGCGGCCATGGCTCACGGACCTAGCCGCTCCGCGGCATGTGGGATCTTCCCGGACCGCAGCACGAACCCGCGTCCCCTGCATCGGCAGGCGGACTCTCAACCACTGCGCCACCAGGGAAGCCCTGTATTAATTCTTAATAAAGAATCACATAGATTTGTCTTCTGTAAATCCTTGTTTCTGATTTATCCATCTCAAAGTTAAAATACCCCTGAATTGAGAATGCAGTTTGGGCTGAGGGAGAGGCAGGAAGATGACATTGGGAAGTACACACGTTATTTTCCACAGTATTGGTAATTTTCTAATTATTTGAATAGGTGGTGGATTCACTGGGGCTTATTTTAATACGCTTAATAATTTACATTTACTATATATATTATTTTATATGTATCAAATATCACATAATAAAGGTGTTTTAAAAGAACATATGTAGTATTTTCCCTTTTAAAAGCTACATTACAAAATAGAAGCTTTTCTTCTTTCATTTAACTCTTTTTTCCTCTCCAACTATTTTAATATTTATTGATTCAGATGTTCAACATACATTTATTTAGCAACTATTATATGCCAGACTTGGTTGTAAGTATTGAGGGTATAAGCAAACGTAAGTGTAACTAACTAAATAACTAACTAAATAAAACTATGGTCCCTGCCTGCATGTGGGTTATAGTTTAGTTGTGAGAATGTAAAGGGCAGAGCTATGTGTAATTCTTTGCAAGCTCGGTACTCCCAGAGTGCCTTGCCCAGGTAAGAACCTCAATAATGTTCACTGATGATATTGATGATGCTTGCACCACCTATAGATCTTTTTTTGGGTAGAAGATTCTTTATGTTGTAATCAGATCATTTTACCATTTAAAATAGACTTCATCCAGCAACAAAGAAATCTGTCATACTGGATTCCTAAAGGCCACTTGGAATTGCATCCTTTTGGGAAATCTCAGCAACCTTGTCTTCCTGAAATAATAATCATCGCAACAAGTTTCCAGGTAGAGGTAAAGAGTTGTAGACACTTGTAAATTTTGTTTGGTATCCAGTTATACCATCATTAATTATTCACAGAGAAGAACTCTCAAACGACAGCTTGTGTTCCCTCTCTGCACCTTTTAAACATACAAGTTTTACACAGATTCATAAATCTCAGGTTCCAGATGACAGGGTTTCTCTTTATCAGTCTTTCTGCAATAAAATTTAGCAAACCTGATGTTAATTAGGAAGAGCAGCACAAGGGAAGTAATACCAAAAAACCCACTGGTAAACTGTTCTGAAAATAACTCAGGCAATCACCACTCATTCTCTTCAATGAAAATACTTTTTCAAGATAATAAACAACCTTTGATCAAAACATCAATTGTACTAAATCTCACAGGAAAATGTTCTGTGAAAAATCTTATTTACGTACTCCAGGTCTTAGCTGACTTTAATTGTATATATTTCAGGTTGTACAGACCTTAAAACAAATGAGAGACCAGAACTTAAAAACTTCAAAGACTAGATTTACCAATATGGCATATTATAATTTGAAAAATGCTTGCATAAGTGATGAATTACAACTCTTACCTTAATGAAAAAAACAATGCTATAATGTATTTTGCCTCCCAAATTCCAGTAGCAAAAAGATGGCCATTTTTTGCTTTAAAGTCTTATGATTAAAAACAACAATCAGTTCGAGTATTGAAATAGTTCCCTTAGTGCTACGTATACAGTTGATCAACTAAACTACATATGAATGCCTACGTATATAGTTATCTACATAGATAGATCATACGTGATCATACAGTGGTAAGGCCTAAACACATCCCACTGAAGAGGATTTTTAGATTTTAAATGTTTTGGTTTTGATCGAGTCTGAAAGTCTAGACTCTATGACAAGGGTTGCAGAATTATTTTGTGTATGTTTTTCTGGGAGGTTTCTATGGCTTTTATTAGACACCCAAAGGTGTTGATGACCCCCAAACCACTAATAACCATGACCCCAGGACAGGGTAATAAGCATTCACATTCAAGGGTATCTGACATACAGAATGAATTTAATAAACATTGTTGAATGAATCTTGAATGAATATCCTTTTTCTAGAGTATCATTAAACTTTTCAGTGCTGTCATCAGAGATAAGTGTTGACTAGAAAAATCAGAAAAAAAGGGGAGAAAAATGACAAATCAAGACTGAGTGATTACTATATGCAGGACAACGGTGCAGGTGGTGGGAATTTTTTTAAGGTAATTTCTGTTTTTAAGGAACTTATGATCTAATTAGAATGAAAAAAAACACACAAAATGATGTAAGAACATTAGCAAAAGGGAAAAAGGTACTCAGTGTATTATAAAATGTATACTAGAACTACTGACGATGAAAAGCCTTTCCTAGGTTTGAAGGATCTTTGACATATACAGCGTTTAATTTTGCCATCTATAATCAGGAAAAGACCAGAAGTATAAAGGGTAGCGAGAGGTGGAATAGAAGGGATTGGAATAAATACTCCTCTTTTTATGGTCTTTGGTGATTGGGAAGACGGTACCAAGGGAAACACAAAATAATCCAGTGGTTCTTGAAGGGCAATTGTTCTTGACGCTCTTCCTCCTTATTGCTAGTGTATTTTTTGGAGGGGCACGGTGGGGGGCCAGGGGGATGCTGACTTGACCAGAGCATAGGAAAATCACTCCTCCAGTGCTCTGAAACCATTAAATACCTTTAAGCAGGTACTACCCAAGGTCTTTCACCCGAAGGCAAATGCACTGAAAAATTCTAGTTCACATTCAGAAACATGCCCAATCAACAGGAATATTTGGAAGCATAACTTGGTACACCTCCAGGCCACTGCTGTTGGCACTTTTCCTCTATGAGGTTTCTGAGGAGTCCAAGTAGAAGGCCAAGCCCAACTAGCATCTATATCCTTTCCCCATTTTGATACCATGAGCTTTTGTAAAGTGAGGCAAAACTGTAGCAACATATTTTGCTTACTGGTCTTATTTCCTTCATATAGAAAAATATGTAGGAGATACATGATGAAACCAACGTTGGACAAGACAGTCCAGGAGCTCAGCCCAACCACAGTGATATTTGTTGCTTTTTCATGCTTCACTTCAAACTTAAAGTACATAAAATACTATAATTTAAGAAGTATTGGGGACTTCCCTGGTGGTCCAGTGGTGAAGAATCCACCTTCCAGTTCAGGGGACGCGGGTTCGATCCCTGGTCGGGGAACTAAGATCCCACATGCTGCAGGGCAACTAAGCCCGCACACCACAACTACTGAGCTCGCACACCTCAACAAGAGAGCCCGCGTGCCACAAAGTACAGAGCCCACGTGCCCTGGAGCCTGCACGCCACAACTAGAGAGAGAAAACCCACACCGCAACAAAAGATCCCGCATGCCACAGCTAAGACCTGATGCAGCCAAAACATAATAAAGACAATTAAAAAAATATATATCATTTCTTGGATCTTCTCCTCTAATTCCACTGCTAACACTTTCAGATTAAGGGTAATTCATGGACCAACTACTGCATACAGTAAATGGGTTCAACTTCCAACTCTGTCACCATGGGTGAAGTTGGATAAGTTATTCTTATAACTTAGTTATTATAACTAACCTCTTGTAACTTAGAGGTTAGTTATTCCTCTCTAACCTAAATTTCCTTATTTGTGAAAAGGAGTGAATAATAAGGTTTTCGTGAGCTATAAATGAGATATTGCAAGGAAGGATATTGCACGGCATTTTGTAAGGGCTCAATAAATATATGCCATTATTCTTATCGCTTTCATTAGTCTCCCTGTGTACAGTATCACTGTAAAATTCACCTCCCACTTCGCTGCCACATAATTATTCTGAACTCACCTCTGATTCTGTCAGTCTCTTGTCAAAACTCTTCAATGGATTCCATGCAACGGCATCATCTTATCTTCTGGCCGGGAATGTGTGGCCATTCTCTATCTAGCCTTAACCAACCTGCCGCCAGCCTGTCTCCCAAGAGGCCCCTTAATAACAGATGAAACTTCTTCCCCTTCCCTAACATACCCTTCTCTTTTCAGCTTGGTAGCTTTGTTCCTGGTATTCCCTCTGTGTTGAATGCCTTCCCCATGTACATCCATATAAGTCGCTGATCCTCCAAGCTAGCTTGGATGCCACCTCCTCCACAAAGATTTCTCTCATCCCTCTAGCAAAGTGAGTTCTCCCTCTGGATGCCTGAAATACTTGTTTTCTTTTACCTTGAAAAAAATGTTACTTAGGTTTACATTACCTCCCAACCCAAAATACAAGTCCTTTAAAAACCAAGGTTTGAATCAGTTCTATTTTATATCCGCGTGGCCCCTACTACAGGGCCACACTCACAACAGATACTTGAAAAACATTTATGGAATGAGTAATCAAATACTCATAATAAAGTAGACAGTAAGAACAGAAGAGGGTAAAATAAAGCACTGAGGGAGTCCAGCGGAGGAAGAGGTTATCTTAGCTAACTTTGCATTTGAAGTCTTTAAGGATGTTAGAACTCTGCTAGGCAGAGATGATGGAAATCAGAAATCGAGGCCCAGAGAGCAACGTGAATGTAAGATGGAGGGGAAAAAGCACAAAGATTAAAGAACAGGTCGTACAGCCAAAATTTAGGAGTTGCAAAGGGTAGTAGATTATTAGGACTGAAAGATCAGATTATGGAGGGCCCTGAAGGAATTCCTGAGGAAACTGCACTTAAGGCTAGAGGCCATAGGAAGCCATGGGAGGTTGAGGAGGGAAATTATATAGTCATATATGTGCTTTAGAAAAACTACTCCATCAGCTGGGCGTAAGATGGAACTAGGGGTGGGAGAACAATTTTTGCAATAGTTAGGAAAACAGCCACAGTGTCTTGAACTATGGTGGTGACATATAATGGCAAGAATGTAAAGGTGGGACTTCCCTGCTGGTGCAGTGGTTAAGAATCCGCCTGCCATTGCAGGGGACACGGGTTCGAGCCCTGGTCCAGGAAGATCCCACGTGCCGTGGAGCAACTAAGCCTATGCGCCACAACTACTGAGCCTGCACTATAGAGCCCACACACCACAGCTACTGAAGCCCACGTGCCTAGAGCCCGTGCTCTGCAGCAAAGAGAAGCCACTGCAATGAGAAGCCCGCACACCGCGACGAAGAGTAGCCCCCGCTCACCGCAACTAGAGAAAGCCCGCACGCAGCAACGAAGACCCAACAAAACCAAAATAAATAAATTTATTTATTTAAAAAAAAAAAAAGGTGAAAGAGAATAAAAGAGGACAGGGTGGAAAGAGAACTACAATGGAGCAATGGAGAAGGAGTGGGGTTCTGAACCTGGCCTACATGGAGACAATTCAGGTCCATAAACTTGGATGGAAAAGTAGAACATCTCTTTTCACTAACCTCTAAGTGAAATGTAGCATGCCTTCAATTATGAATACAGCAATGAACCATAGCAGCATTAGGCTTCATCAGACTGACAAAGGGGTCCATGGCATAAAAAAGAATTTCTGTGCTCCAAAGTGACGAAATCTTTAGGAGAGCCTTTACCAGAGATAAAGATTAGAACTGAATAAGAAAATTCCGAAACAGAAAGATAGAAAAGAAAGAAAACAGAGGAAGAGAGGAAGGAAGGAAGGAAGGAAGGCAGGCAGGCAGGCCCTGTGTGGGGACTGAGAGAAGGAAGGACAATAAAGATGGATAAAGTTATGTTTGAATTTGGACATGCTGAGTTTCAGGCGTCAGCCCACACTTACCTTACACAAGGACATCCCTTTTCTTGAGCCCAGTAGCCTCCAGCTGCAGGGAAACCTAATCGCCTCTATATAGTAGGAATCTTCATTTCCTATTCTGTTCATCCTCCCATCTTGTGGGAATGAAAACAGTCCAAGGGTGACCAAATGTCCTGGTTTGCCTGGGACAGAGGGGCTTTCTAGGACATGGGCCTTTGCTGCTAAAACCAGGAAAGACCAAGGCAAACTGATGTGCTAGTCACCCTAAGGGCCCTCAAATCTGGCCTGCATGCTAATAAGGCTACAATAATACTATGCCTTCAATTAAGAAAAAAACTATGCCATTTAAGGTTTATTTTAGATCTGAGTTTGTCAATCTGTTCACCCCACAAAGCAGAAAATACTGAAGGAAAATCTTCCTCTCACAATGTCAGACAGTTATTGGCACTCAATAAATGCTTTAGTAACTGAATATCATTATGTCAATAGTTCTACAATTTACATAGTGCTGGCACATTCCCATCTCATGCAATCGTCACAAGGACTGGGAAACAGACTTGATTCTCTTCATACTACAGAAGAAACCAAGACTCTGGAAGATGTAGTCCTTTGCTCTACCTCACACAGCAAGCCAAGTGGCGGACTCCCAGCACTGCAGCTGACAAAGAACACTGAATTACTGCGTGTTCCACAAAGGCACGAGTGGTTGTTGCTATATGGCGATTATGCAAAGCTGCAACTGTCTTTCTTTTGCAATGTCCATGAACTCAGTGCTCCGGTATTATGTTGATACACAGTAAATGGAGTGTAAGTTTTAGGCAGAAAGGACCCTAAAGTAAAGTGATGGCTTGCCTATGGGAAAAGGCATAAAAAGCCAATGATTAAATGTTCAAACTCGGTATGATGAGGTAAGAGAAGCAATAACTTACACATCAAATTGCATGGCCAATGGTTCCAAAACTATGCTCCCGTATGCAGCCTCTAATTACAAAACCCATACAAAGAAGTGACTGCGCCTGTATTAGTCACTATAGGAATCAATACAAGACCCTCGTGTGCCTGTAACGATCAGTCCAGGAATCTTGGACCGGGATGGGAATGGTGAAAGCCAGGATACATAAACTTGGATAGTTAATACTAAGGTTTCATTCAAGGGAGAGGCCTGGCCTTGCTGGGTTTATTGGCCCCCGTAACTCACCAACTACCTCCCCCTGTAGCCATGGCAACACCCACACCAAGGCAGCTCCAGAATTCACCTTTGGATACCCACACTGCACCGAATTTGCACCTACGCAGCTCAAATAAAACCAACAGAGACATCACTCCCGCTAAACCAAGACAACCATGGCCTTTTCCCGTTTCTCCAGCTCCAATTCACCCAGGGAACATAGTCTTTCTTTTCACCCATATCCACTGAAGAGAGTCCTGAACAACGACCACTTCTGCTGCAGTAAAAGATAAGAGGAGGGTTTTTCTCTTTCTTGCGGGTGTGGATATCAGAGACGAATGAAAGCCGGATGCGCGCGCGCGCGTGTACACACACACACACACACACACACAAGTTGCCTAAAAAGGCAACTAAACTGATAAGATCAAAATAATTTTCAGCCAACATCTCGTAGCATGTCTGTCAGGCAAGCTCCGTTTTGCTCCTGCAGGCCACTGTCCCTGGAGCCGGTAAATAGTTTCCAAGACGGCTACTGGACTTACAGCTCTAAAACACAAAAAACGCATTCCCTGCAGGCGCACAGCATGAGCAAGAACCATGACGTATTCGGGAGAGCTTTCCAGAACTGCTTTCCAGCCCGAGCAAGATGCCCAGGAAGCAAATCTCCCTTTTGCTTCTAGAAATGGAGAGGAGTCAAATCACACTCCCCGCGCTCGCCGACAGAACGCAGACCCAGCGGTTTTCGGGAAGCGGCGGCTAAACGTCCTGTCAGACCCCCTCCTTCCTAGATGGCCACTCGGCCCTGAGCCGTGAGCCCTCGAATTCTACCCCCATTACCTCCCTGGCACCTGAGCAAAACCGAAACAACCCACCGCAATGGATAAAACGAAAAGGACCCCCCTCCACAAAACTTCTGTCGCAAAGCCTTTTTCTACTGGCCCAAAAGCGCCGTGAAAAACCCCTTTGCGTCCGGGACGTCCCGGCTGCCACTAGTAAAGATGGCGGCCATAGGCGGAGCCGCTCCCCCCCGAAGGCGGCCGGCTGCCCCTCCAGCCACGGGCATTCACGCCCACTGCGGCTTGACGCATTGCAGGTGCGGCACGGCCAATCAGGCGCCTCGACTCTTTCCGGCCAACTACTGCAGGGTCGCGCTGGCCAATCAGAGCATCCTTGTCAAACTGAATGAGGAAAGCAGCCTCGGCAGCGCCAACTAAACAACCGGCTCCAGAGCAGCGCGTTTTGGGGCGTGGAAGGCAAAGAGCTGCTGTGTGCTCCTCCGCCGGGAGATATAGTGCCCTCGGCCCGCGCCCCGCCCCGCCTGCCCGCGCGCGCTTGAAAAGCTTAGGCTTCAGGCTCGCCTATTCTCTTCCCCTCGGAGGCACGGGAAGCAAGGAGTTGCATTAAGAACAACACTGAGTTCCTTTGCCGTGGCACGTGGCATTCCGAGGGGCGATCTCAAACCACTTTCGCCCTGCCTCCTGGCTTGTTGAGGCCGCGCTCGTTACGGTTCATCCGGCACGTTGTGAGAAACGGTTGCCACTGGTGAAATAAAAACCTCCCCTTATCTCCAAAACCTGACTCGATCCGCCTCCGAGACGACCCTTCCTGTTTACGAGCGGAGGCCCAGCCGCCCGACAAGCATCCTTGTGGGCACTTTTGTTTCAGAAGGGCCCTTTTCCCTCCTGTGGTCCCGCGGGCTCGGGTTTTCCGCCGTGGCCGAGCAGGAGGGGCCTGAGGGGGACGCGCCAGGAGCCGGCCTGGGGGCTACTGGACAGACGAGGGTAACTTAACAGGCAGTGAGCTGAGAGCCAATGGTTAGCTCCTGGGTAGACCGACGGGGAGCTTCTTGTGTCCTGAGGAAAGACTCTCCTAGATGGAGGAGAAGGCTTAGTGAAATAACCTATCAAACGTGCCAGACCTGGTACCATAGTCTGCCTAGTGTGTAGCCTGCCTGGGTTTCTCTAATCCCTCACTGTACAGTGAAACAGTCTGAGATCCAGGAGGGTCAATGGACCCTCCTGCAGTCACACAGCAACTGAGGAGCAGAGCACAGAACAGAATCTAGGTTGTCTGTCTTCCAAGCCCGTGTTTTTCTGCTATAGTAACACCTCATCTTCTGGAGCTGATGCTGTGGTGTGAGATGGCTCAAGCATTTGGGGAGCTTTATTGTATAATTGAAGGAAGGTATAGGAATTAAGGGAACTAAGTTGTCTCTGAACATAATTTTCCATTAGTGTCCTACAGAGAAAGTTAGCAGAGAAGAAATGTTACTTGGTTATTCTCACTCCTGTAAGAATCTAGCTAAGAAAATGAATTCCTCTGGACTTCTTAGAACTGCCATTTCATTTAAATGTGATTTTATCCTCTCTGATTTTGACACAATATGACTTGGATGATCTAATGATTTTTGTGATTGAACTCCTGTATATTCCTGTTTCCAAGATTATGCTATTAATGGTCTTTCCTGAGGTTTTACAACTTGTAGTGGTGTCTGCTCTGTACCAGTGTAAAAGTTGTTCTCTGACCTAAGGCTATAGTTGCCAGTTGCTGTTTATTGCTGCTTCTTAGGCTTTTACTCAAAGCCTTGATCAAAAAGGAGAAAAGCTGGGGTTTTCTTTTTTTTTTGAAGATGTTGGGGGTAGGAGTTTATTAATTTATTTTTGCTGTGTTGGGTCTTCGTTTCTGTGCGAGGGCTTTCTCTAGTTGTGGCAAGCAGGGGCCACTCACTATCGCGGCCTCTCTTATTGTGGAGCACAGGCTCCAGATGCGCAGGCTTAGTAGTTGTGGCTCACGGGCCTAGTTGTTCTGCGGCATGTGGGATCGTCCCAGACCAGGGCTCGAACCCGTGTGCCCTGCATTAGCAGGCAGATTCTCAACCACTGCGCCACCAGGGAAGCCCTGTGTTTTCTTTCTGTAGGCGGCTAGTAGTCATCTCTAAAGGTGTTTACCAAATGAGCAAATATCTGAACTTCCAAATGAGCAACTCATTATAAAAATACCTACTCAAAGAAACAGTACATCATATTTCTTTTGCAATGTGTATGGCATAGGAAATATGTACCATGACTTCTTGGTGTCAAGTCAGATCATAATGTGAGATAAGAGCTCTGGCTGTGCCGCTAACAAATTGGAAATTCTTGGCTAAGCCCCTCTGTTCCCTGGACCTCAGTTTTCT